GGGGGAGAAATTTGTTTTGAAATGAGAACAATTTGAAATTGAACCAGCATAATGGAGCGGATTTTGTTCAACTGAGGAGGCGCCGCTGTTCCTATTTGCATCCTTGCCCGCCAGCAATATAAAATGTATCAAAATAGCGACAGTAGCTTGAGTTCTAAACTGAGCGGGCATGCTCAAGCTTTTATCTAGAGCTGACAGAGTACAGACATTAAAAGAGAAACATTTCTCCATCTATTGCGGGAGATGTGGCAGTGGCAGCCCCGCCCACTCCACAAAAGCATGAGTCAGAAAAAAGACAGACAGTGTCGTGTATAATTCAATTAGATGGAACCGAAATATTTTTGCCTCTCATATTCTTTTCAGCTGATAGTGAAATAATTCAAACGTCCGCTCTCACATTTCGGCTTCAGTTACTTGGAGCCCTGCTGATTTATATCATATCGGAGTCTTTAGTTGTCGTGCCTTAAATTTATGGCTGGCCAAATGTGACCTTGATGAAATTCATCACAAACAAGTTTGGAGTATCCGTGCCAGGCTGAAGAAAGCGCATCCGGTCTTCAATCAAGTCAAAGCCCGATCATGGGCACATCATGACAGATTTATAATGTCATTTCTGTTCTCAAAAAGTCAACTTTATCCACTTGTTGGGCGAGTCCGACGTTGGCCGGGTTATCAAGTTTTCAGACTTACTAGGTCACCATACAACACCAGCATGTGAAACTCAAGCGAGGTAGGAGATCAACTGTTGCTGCTTTGGAAAATTGAGATGGACTTGCACCTCCCAAAAATCTGTTCGAAAATGACCTTGGATGGGAATTGGGACAGGCGAGTCAAGTGCAAGGAAGCGACAGGAATTTTGATGGCAGCGACTGGTGAGCCGCTACAAAGTCTGCGTTGCAGCGTACGTAGCTGCGGCTCGAGGTGTTTGTCAAGTGAGCACACGTTCAAACCATCCAAGAAATGGGCCCTTACATTTGATCTTCTTTTTTTTTCCTCTTTGGGTTTGTCCCGTCATCCTTTTCCATCTAAGTCTATCTTCTGGATCGTTTGTTCAAATAACAACTGCCCTCATGACATCTTTCAGGATCTTCTTTGGTCTTCCTCTTGTACTCTTTCCTGGCAGATCCAACCTCAAAAACCCTTCTACTAATTGACTTACTGTCTGCCCTCTGGATGTGTCCAAACCATCCAAATCTGCTCTCTGTAACTTTCTCTCTTAAATGTCGAAACTGATCTGTCCCTCGAATGAGCTCATTTCTGATCTCTTTCAACCTCGAGCAAGAAAACCTCAACATCTACATTTCCGCCTCTCTTGTTCTGCTTCAGCTCTTCTCTTCAGTGCCACTGTCGCCATTCCGTACATCGTGGCAGACCTCACTACTGTCTGATACCTGAAACTTTTCCGTTCCTCCGAGCAGAGACTTTTCTATCCTTTACCCATTCAAACCTGAAAGGAACCTGGATCCATTTCTTCACCGCCTTATCATGCTCACCATTGCTCTCAACTGCTGACCCAAAGAACTTCAAGTCCTCCACCCTTGCTGTCTCTTCTCCCTGCAGCCTCTTCGCACTTCCTCCTCCTCGTGGCTGTGTGGGTTTTCTCCGGGTACGCCGGTTCCCCCCCACCCCACAGGGCAGGTTGATTGGGTACTCCAAATTGTCCCTAGGTGTGATTGTGAGGGCAAATGGTTGTTGTGTCTCTGTGTGACCTGCGATTGGCTGGTAACTAGTTCAGGGTGTGCCCCGCCTACTGCCCGAAGACAGCTGGGATAGGCTCCAGCACACCCGTGACCCTTGGGAGGATAAGCGATTTAGAAAATGGATGGATGTGAAGTCACAAATTACAAATACAGTCAAACCTCATTTCAACGTACCCCGTTTACAACGTTTTCACCCCTGTAATGTTCAGATTTCAAAGTCCCGATTTCACATAATTCATTTTCCATTTGCCGATTTTGCTGACAACGAACGCCTTTATAACGTAAACTTCATTGTAATGACCATATTTTTCCCACAAAATAGTGAAAAGGCCTTAGTTACGACGAAACGCGGGAAGCTAACTGCCGCCGCGACCTTGCTTATGAACACAATGTGCAGCGCGGGATTCTCCTCCGTTGCTTTGCAACGCTACTGATCGATTCGGTACACTGTTGTCCTTCTTGCCATAACTCGCGGAGGCACGGCGCAATCCTGAGAACATTGTCTGGAAACATGTCTGGTAAGCGGAAGCAAATCTCACTGTGAAGGCGGAAACACGGACACCCTGATTAGGAAAGGTCAGAGCAGACTTTTCCTACTCAGGAAACTGAGGTCTTTTGGGGGACAGTCCCTCCCACCCCCTCCAGCCCGCCCTGACAGCACTCGGTAGCTCCTTCAGTCAGAGACTGTTACACCCGCGTTGCAAGACGGAGAGATACCGCCGCTCGTTCCTACCGACTGCTGTCAGGCTGCTGAATAAAAAATGAATAAATAAATAAATCATAAAATTATTTAAATGATATGACAACAAATGTGAATGTGAATAGTGCTGTGACTATTGTATTTATATTGCACTTAATTGAACTTATTGACCTTATCCATATTTGTATTTATATTGCACTTAATTGAACTGTGTTTTCTTTTCTCTTCTTTCTACCCACAATCTTGCTGCTGAAGGCTGTAAATTTCCCCAGTGTGGGACAAATGAAGGATATCTTATCTTATCTTATCTTATCTGAAATTGTCTCTCCCTTTCAAAAGGGAGCCTCCCATACATCGGCGGTACGGGTACTTGCCTATGGCGGGTAACATTTGATGACTGAATGTTTTGAGAGATTGAGTAGGAACGCTACAGTTGTTTATTTCATGTCTTATAAAATCATGTTTTCTTCATATACACATATTTGTAATTGACATGTTCATACTGCATTACATGTTCATGTTTCCAACATTTACTGTATAAATGTTCATACTGTGTTATACATTGTAGTTGGCCGCCATTTTATTGGAAATGGTTACGACGAACTACCGTTATAATGTACAGAGTTGTTTTGTCCCTCAAGGTACGTTGTAACGAGGTTCGACTGTACAGTATTTTGGTTTTCTACTGAAATATGTTAAGCCTATTGTGTACAATTGACAGTCAACATTCATTTTAACTTTGAAGCTTCAGTACATTTCGGAATGGATACCTTTTACTTTCACAGTGCAGTCGTAGAATCAGTTCTTTTTTCCTTCACCAGGGTCCTTGCATCACAGGGTGTGAGTCATTTTGCCACCTCTCACTGTCAGTGTCAGTATTAAACATACATCACCACATTTTGACCACTTGCACATTATAATGAAATTCAATCCAAGGTAATAACGTTCCGTGCTGACTGACACTATTTGAGAAGCATTCATGCCATAATAGATTTACGTTTGTGGTTGTGACTGCCCATCTCAGCAGGTATTTCTGATAACAAACACCTTGCAAAATATAAACGCCAACTTGACTGCACGACCAAAGTAATAATGTCAACAAAAAAAAAACCATGAAACACTTCAACTAAATACATCATATTCATAAGATATGCTGATTATTTAATTAACATGTTTCCTTATTGTGCTATATTTTCATGACGACCTTGGCCATGTCTGATTGGATTATTTCTTTCTCCTGTTTTAGGTTTTCTGGTATGTGCGAGCCGGCCACCGGGAGGCATTATAATAGATTCATGAAGACACAATCACAGATTTTCACATCAGTGTGACTCAGTAAGATGCTGTAATATGAGTTGGTTTTCACCGAATAGAAAACACGCTTATGAGTTGTGTTGTATTGGCTCTCTACATGTGTTGACGCACCATTTGTGTTCAAATACCTCTTGCTTAAAGGGTTATAATAGCACCATGATCCTTCATGCATTTTGTTGGCCTGCCAATGCTGTTAACATTGTGTGTTAGCATTAAGCGGAAGACAAAGTTGTGTGTTTGTTTCAAATCCCTACATGTAATTCTTAGTTTTATGTTGAAGCCTGTTTTTTTCATGAATTTTTCACCATCTGCCAAATTGCTGCTTACTGTGAAGTGAGTTGACCTCGGTTAATTGCCCCCTTTTTTTTTACATTCAAGTTAAGAGCAAAAATGGTCTGGATGACAGGTCGTATTTCCCCAAAAATTGTCAGTTGGTCTCCCGTATCTCAAGGTGCCACCGTATGTTTCCAATTGTTATCTCATCCAAGTTAATAATTGATAATTCATTGATAATTATGAACTTCATCCACTCTTTTTTTTTTTTTTTTTTTGGTTGCAAAGATGATGATGTTGTGACACATGGACACGCTCCTGCATGACAGTCTGGTATCGTGGGTCACTTGATACCATGCGGGGAATTTCATCTGCCTCTAAAAAGAGAGCAGTACATAACTGGCAGGGGGACGGACAGAGCTCCAATTTTTTCAGTCCTGTTTTCTGATGTGCTAAAAGGTGAATTTACAGGCTGGGTGCGTAGTGGGATTCAGCGTTTCCAAGCAACCACAGAAGAGACAATTCGCTTACTCAGGAGGATATAACACATGCCGACCACCGAGTACATGTACAATACTTGTACAATTACAAAAAGTGATGTGGGAACTTGGTCCTGTACTGTAACAGAAAAATCAAAATAAAAATGCATGTCATTTTTTTACTAGCTGCCCACGACCCACTTTTGCGTGTCGGCCCACTAGTTGAGAATCACTGCTCTAGAACATTTAAGGTTTATCCACAAATTTCACCTGAAAGGCGACTAATGTCATTCAAAATATTTCACTTGAAATCAACAAAGAATCTTGACTAGAAAATGGAACATTTTATTCCAAGCTGAAGTGCAGAAAAATACAGAAACATTTGCAAAATAATGCATAAGACACAGTATGTTAGCTGCTCCAAGTCCATTCATGATACATGAATGATATGAATAATTATGGCGGGGACCACTTGGACCTCACCAAGACTGATGCCTTATGATGTGAGTGAACGTCAAACCATTGCCAATGGTTACTTGTCCCAACAACAAAAGCTACATTAAAAAAAAAAAAAAAAAAACAGGTCAACACAAGGTTGCAGAAGGCTGGAAAATTTCCAGTACATTTCCATTACATATTCATGAGAACTTAATGTAAAGGATTTTTGGCAATACTGGAAACTTTCTGTGGGAATTATGGGAAGTAACTAGGAATTGAGGGTGATGAGCCGAAAATCTCCCATGTCCAAATTTGGCAAATTTCATATTTGTTCAAAAATCTATACCATTGGTAACTCCTCAGTGTTTTAACTCTTTCAATGTTTATTTATTTATTTCATTGACAAATTATTGACCAATCTAAATAATTGAAAAAGGCCCGCTGTCTTTGAATGCGATTTGATTGTCAATGTTCCACAAACGTGCCGTTGTTGTTTTGGTTTGGGGGCGGAAAAATGTTATCAAAAGCAGACACTCATGCAAAACAGAGCAAGCTCTCCTTGCCCACATGCGAGGGCATTGCAGTACCTTCACCGCTCCAATTTAGTTCCCAAGCACAATCATACCTCAAATTTTGGCTCACAACACAAAGCACAAATTCAAGAAAGCAACTGGAAATACTCAAGAATTGGGGCACTCATAAATCAGGGTGCCATCAGCATGAAATCTGTTGGGTTTTTTTTTAGGCCTGGTCGTCACAGAAGGATTTTTCAAATCTTAAAAGATCACATGAAGGTTAAAAACAATCAGACATTTAACAATTTTGGTCGTATTTGTGTTCCAATAATCTAAACTCCGAGCAGGCAGAGGCAGAAATCTTGTGTGATCACGTTATCTTACAAAAATGAAATGACAGTTCTGCTGATGCGCCGATGTTCCCCAAGTTTTTCCCTAAAAGTACGGTAGGCGGGAGCATTGAAAAAAAAAGCGCGGTCATCAACAAAGGTCTTGCTTTGGAAAATTCTTGTTGCCTACATGGGTAGGACGTATTTTGTTTTATTGACTGCCACTTTCCTGTTCATCCAGCAAGGTGCTATGCTTGCCGACACAGTACAGTAAGTAGTCTGCTTTCCGCACACACATGACGGTTTTTGGTCGTAAATATTTAACACGTTTTATATTTAAGATTGTCGGTCCAACTCCTTTTGGAGCAAATTATCCAGAGAAAATCACACATCTTATAGAAATTATCTTTATGTGGGAACCGGCCCTAAAATAGGATTATACTCAGAAGATATTTTCCCCAACTCTAATTAAATTCCCCATTGAGAACGATCCTTCAATTTGTTTTCATTCCTGCTTTGTTCCCATTTTCCTCATAAATTCCTGTTAGTTTCCATAGAATGTTTCCCACTAGAAAAATTCACAGAATTTTTGCAACCCAATGTGTGGTTTGTCAGTGTTCGGACAATCCTTCCATCTTGCCTCCATCAGATATTCCATTCATTGCAGCTTGAGTGGAAAACTGTCAGCACTTTGGTCTGTGAGCTGCTTTGTTTATTGTCCCTCATCACATAACATGATTCAGAAAGAACCCTCAAATTAGGGTCGCACTTTGTCTTTGACTCCACGTGTGCTGTCTCAGTCCTTCCATTTAAAATGGGAAGGAATCCATCAGAATGGTGTCCACAATAGGTGGCGGCGGGACCAGACCTTCCAATTTAAGGTAGAAGATGCGCTGGAGGCCTTCAGTGCACAGCGTCCTGAGTTCAGGCAGCTTCCCGAGCAATCTGGACAAATAGTTGGGACGCGACGACGGGCAGTCCGACACGTGATCTTTAAGACTGTTAACCAGCTGATTCTGCAAGTCCTCCACGCGTTTTGGTTCTTTGAGACCATGTCGCTCTGCCAAAAAACAAACAAACCAAAAAACATCAATATGAGTCCCGGTGAGGTGAACATAAATATGTCTTGGACCTTTTGAGTGTTGTTAATAACCCTGCCAAATTTGAATTATACATAATTAAATCCCACTTCTACAACCTTGTTGATTGGATTCATGCATCTTTCTTACGCCGGCACATAGCTACACTGTTAAACTTTAAGCCATGAAAATCTCTCCATTCAACCCTTTCAGGGACAGTGGTCACTACAGTGGACAGCTTACCATGTTATCAGTTTACAGGTTGCAGGAAAGCCTTTGATGTATGCAATATCTCCCATTGGCTTGTCACGGAGCTTGTCCACATTGCGACAATGAGGCACTCTAAAGTGGCCCAAGTGCTGGCTGTCACATCAGACTTTAAAAAATATATTTGACCGTGCTCTTTTGCCTTTCTCTGCATGACATGCGCGCACTCCAAAGCGGCCGTGCGGACGATCCAAACGGAGCATGTACTTTTGAGGTGTAGCTAACTGCACATTGCTAACTGATGAGATTTGAAAGAAGGCGCTCAAGTTTTCATGTAGCTTAGAAGTTGAAGAATTTTTTTTATCATTTCCAAGTATTGATGAGATGAATGGAGGAAATTCCAACAACGAAATTGGACAAAATGCGCCACCCGCAATATTTTAACGGCTGATTTTGTTGTTTAAAAAAAAAAAAAAAACTTTTTCAGGAGCGTTTGGGGCTACCAATTATTTGACGTTATCAGAGTGTCACAACAAGAATAGAAATGGAGTGAACAGTGCTATCTTGTGACCTTCTGTTACCTTGGCTTGAGACCTATTTGCACTTAGGAAGGCGTGTATGGAATGACAAGCTCTAGGTTCCTGCAGTGATTGAGACTCAGGTACCTGGTATAAGACAGCTTTAGAAATCATCCCCCCAAATTGGAGTGCATTTCATAGTACAGTGGACTCCAACGTATTTGTGGTTTGGCATTCATGGATTCTCTTATTCACCGATTCTTTTTTTGGGGGGTGATGGGGATTAGGGGACCTATTATTCGAGGAAAACAGCACAGTATAGTGAGCATCAATTTGATTTTGGGCTATTCACGTTTTGGCCATATCCTCGTTTGAATAAGTAACCCATGACAAAAAGGTTCTTACAAAAAGTAAACCTCCTTTGTGGTGAGGTTTAGTCCGGCGTCATATGCGAATGTTTGCACGTCTCGTGTGTGCTCTGAATGAGCTCGTGTTCAATTTTGTCACACATCTGTTGTGTCAATCCTCGTGTTGCATAACTGTCCTGTACTGTGCTCTGTTGGTGAAACCCGAGACCTCATAAAAACCATTGCGAAAGGAGTCAGTGCGTTAGAAGCGCCTACCCGTGATGATGACCAGTGCCGTGAGGCACGAGAAGGAGGAGATGTCAAGTTTCATGCGATGGAGGCCTCGGGAAAACTCCAAGATGGAGTCGATCCAGTCACCGAAGCCTCTGACGCACTGCGTTTTGTGAAGCACTTTGCCGTTGCAGAAGACCAACTTGTTCGTTTCGGGGTTTGACCTTGGAAAAAACATTTCGGTGTGTCAAACAGTGGTTTTCACACCAAGTACCACCTGGAAATAGATTTGGCTCTCCGCATTATGTACCACCATAGTGACCGACAGTGAAGTACGAGAAGTGTCATCGTCAATGTTCATCAAATGTAAGTTTGATTCTAGCGAAAAAGTACCACATTGTTCTCAGTCTTTGCATGTTTTTGGCAATTATCTTCAAACATGTCGGATGTATTTAGAAACAGATCTCTGAATTCACTTCACACAATCCGAAGGTGGACGGCTCACCGGTACGCAAGACGAAGGATGAAGAGTTCGACAAAGGCTGACTCCAGGAGCAGCTCTTGATCTGGCGAGCAGAAATCCGAGAAACCCGGAATGCTCTTGGCCCACTTCCTGATCACCTCCATGGAGGCTGTCAGCAGGTCGTAGAACTCTTTGACGTCACTCGCCTCCTCTTTCTGGTTTGCGCCGATGTCTATTGCTTCGGACTAGAAGAATACATGATGGACATGTTTAAAAAGATGGGTCACCCGTGCGAGTGGAAGAAAGCAAACATCGTTTTATTACTTTGGAATAATTCAGGTGTTCTTCGTTGGGATTGGAGTCGATCTGAGCCCTCACAAGAGACGCGATCATGCTGACTGGAGACACTGCGGGCGACGCTTCCTGGACTACTTTTGGCTTGGAGGGCAGGCGACCTCTGCGACCCTTCAGGCTGTCGGTCCTCACAACTGGAAATAGGAGGAAAATGTTTCGTGTCAAAACATGAGGCGCCCCATCACAACGTAATCTCGATCCAACAGACTTTTTCAGCATGACGTCACGCGCACTTGCTGATGGCAAAAGAGGAATGCTTCTAATTGTGAGCAAACGTCTCATTTGACATGGCCGAGCCATTGAGAAAACATGCGAAATGGCTAGAATGATCATTTTAGCCGCCTTCTCGACTGTCATAGCTTGGAAGCGGAAAGTCTCAGTCGAGTAGAGGATTTTAAATGAGGGCGACAGGTAAAGTGATTTAAAAATAGACGTGGTGGAAACTCAGACACAGTAACATGATTACCGCGGGTTCGGCTAATAAATTGACACGCTCTTTTGACGCTGAAATGGATGGCACGCTGCAGTGTACTTGAAGGCTAACCATTAGGTAGTCAAAGATGAACCGAGCAAACATTTCCAACATACGTGTGAGAAAAGACCGACACAGATTTGGTTGCTGGTCTGTCCCCGTGGAAGTGGCTCGTATGTTTTGCCTTCTTCTGTGTGCACCTTTTTAAAAAATAAACTCAATTTACAATCCTCCTTGGTAATATTCGAGGAATACATTATGAAAGAACATGTTGCTGGCATCACTGGAGTTCTACCACTTGAAATCGCCTGTCGCCAATTGTTTAGTTATTGTATAAAATTGTCGCAATCTGGCGGTGCAACCCGAAACACGACTGTTTTCATTTTCAGTTCAGTTTGTGCCATCTGGAAGCACCTGGGTGCCTTATGTTAAGGAAAGGTCCCTGCAAGAGTCGGAGAATAAAGCTTTTATGAATATTTCATATTTAGGCCCAGGACCATGATGAAAACAGATACAGAAAATGGTTGCTGACTTGGAGGAAAAACGGAATTTCTATCGTCCAGCGTCGCTGATTGTGTTTTTCTCCAACTTGATTGTTTTCACAAAAAGCTACACTTTCTTTAGACCTCGCAAAACTGCTCTCTCTCCCTCTCTCTCTCTCTCTCTCTCTCTCTCTCTCTCTCTCTCTCTCTCTCTCTCTCTCAATTGTTTACATGGCAGAAATGGCACGATGAAAGTGCCAGCCTGTTTACTTTTGGCCAGTGATATTTGAGAATTTCCACTGTTCTGGAATGTACTTGAAAGTAAAGCAAAATGCTTGAGTTTAAGATCGCCAACTTGAATGTATGAGTGAGGGCAGGGGTTTCTCTGTCAAAAAATGTATTGCGTTAAAGATTTTTACTCTCAAGTTTAGCGCACTTCCTGTCCCGAGGTCTGAACTCACCTTCCTTGACCATTCCTACAGCCAGACACTTTTGGAATCGGCAGAACTGGCAGCGATTCCTCCTCCTCTTGTCCACGGGACAGTCCTTGTTGGTCAGGCAAACATACTTGGAATTCTTTTGTACCGTCCGCTAGCCAATCAAAAGAAACATTTGTCTCGTTAAAGTGAGCAGCGATCAACGGGCTGCTACTCTGTGGCAGTTTCTGACTGCAGGTGTGCAGTAACGAAAACTAAAAATGTTCACAACTTAGTGACACACATCTTTCTTGTGCCACCCATCCATCCATTTTCTAATCCACTTATCCTCACAGTGGCTGCGGGCGTGCTGGAGCCTATCCCAGCCGTCTTCAGGCAGTAGGCGGGGGACACCCTGAACGAGTTGCCAGCCAATCGCAGGGCACACAGAGACAAACAACCATCCGCGCTCAAACTCACACCAAGGGACAATTTAGAGTGTTCCTTGAACCTGCCATGCACGTTCTTGAAATGCGGGAGGAAACCGGAGTAAAGCCATGCAGGCACGGGAGAACATGCAAACTTCACATAAACCCTGCACCTCTGCACTGCGAGGTCGACGCGCTAACCAGTCGACCACCAAGCCACCCCATTCTTGTGCCATGTTTCCCAACTTTTATTGAGCCGAGGCACATATTTTATCTAAGCAAAATGTCATGGCACACCGCCCGAAGACAGCTGGGATAGGCTCCAGGACGCCCGTGACCCTAGTGAGGAGAAGCGTATCAGACAATGGATGGATGGATGACAGCAGAGGATAAAGAATGTATGCCAGTGAGTACTGATACATTTTATTCCAACATGTGTTGCCCCATTGTCTGTTCAAATACCCGTTGCTTAAAGGCTTGCAATACTATTCGTTAGCGGGTCAATGAATTTCCCATTAATTTTTCGCATTAAGCGAGTGGCGGAGGTTGAAGCCTCTTTTTTGATCAATTGTTTACTATTTGCCAAACTGCTGCTTATTTTGAAGTGAGTTGAGTTTGCTGCCACCATGGAATGGTTGTATCTAAAAATGACCCTCAAATGGCTTTGTGAGACACTGTGCATATATGGTTACCTTGAAAAAGCCTTTGCATCCCTCACAGGTGCGAACGCCGTAGTGCTGGCAGGAGGCGCTGTCCCCGCAGACGGCGCAGCAGCCCACGTTCCCTCGCAGCCTTTTTAGTTTCAGTGGCAAAGTCCCTTCCGAGTGGTCAGCTTCATCCAGGCCGCACGCCCGCTCCATGGGCAGCGCAGGGAAGGTAAGTGAGGACGCTTCGGCGAGAGCATCGAGGTGGGGTTGCCCCAGAGGAGATACATTGTCTGCAGTCCCCGCAGGAAACGTGAAGAAGGACGGCACATGCGGTGCTGGGATCTCCTCAGCTGCCCAGTATCCTGGACTAGGTGAGTAAGAGTTCCAGGCGGGCGTATGCTGATTTTGGAAGCTGGGGATGGATTCAGCGAAATCATTTGAGCCACAAGACGAGACGGTCTCATCCGGGAAAGTGAACATGAGGGTGCCAGGGTAGCAGCCGTAAACCTGGAGCTCATCCAGCCTGAACGGGCTCTCCTGGCCTGCGCTCGTCGGGCACGTGTAGGCATCAAAAGTGCCCGCCTGAGTGCCGACGCTGGGCAGGCACGGGGTGCATGGGTGGTTCCGCGGGGCGGCTGGATCCACCAACAGCCTGGAGTACAAGTCCGGGCTGTGAGGCTCCAAGCTGCCTAGGTTGTTGTCGTAGGGCTGGGAACCGTGCTGCAGGGGGTGGATGCAAGTCATGGCTGCAAAACTGGCAAAGGACAAAGACAACTGTTAGGACACCGTCTGACTCAACAATAAAATGACCACAAGCAGATCATCAGTAGGTCCCTCAATTTCTGACAATAATGTAGATGGTTGATCATCCCTAAACCTACTACATACATGCTACATGGTTATTGCATTGATACCGTGAGCAGATCATCTACTTTCTTCGTAAGGTGTGTCAATATAGAGAGGCATTAGAATAAGTTAAACCCACAAGAAATAGGCAGTAGACCTCTTATCCTCACAAGGGTCGCGAGGCGTGCTGGAGCCTATTCCAGCTGTCTTTGGGCAGTAGGCGGGGTACACCCTGAACTGCCTGCCAGCTAATCACAGGGCACACATAGACAAACAACCATTCTCACTCACACTCACACTTAGGGACAATTTAGAGTGTTCCACAAACCTGCCCAGCGTGCCTGCGGAGAAAACCCACGCAGGCACGGGGGGGGGAACATGCAAACGGAGTCGGAATTGAACTCGCATCTCTGCACTGTGAGGCGCACATACTAACCAGTTGCTCACCATACCCCATGGGCCAGTTCATGATCATTATAATAATGATATTGCTAATAACAATTCATCATCATAAAGTTTAAATACATAATAATACTACATCGTAACTCGGGTTGTAAGTGTCCAAAGCATTTAATAAAAGCTTGGATCGTGCAGTGCGCGTGGCACGCATATTGAACAAAGTTGTATTTTTAGTGGGGACACCATGAACCAGTCGCCCCGTTGGAAATCAAATCTTGAGGTGCTGTGTACGTGACGAGGTCGCCTGCTTTTAGTTGACTTGTTGATAAGCAGCCATCATTTCATCTTTACCGGCAGTTTCATTCACGAAAACTTATGTAGCACCCCCAATGCAGAAAAAAACACCAGACCTCATCAGCCAAATATCGTCAAACAATCAACTCTCTCAATGGACTGTATCATCATCATAATCATGTTATGATTATTGTTATCATCAAGGCACTCTCTTTGGCCAACGCAGTTCGGAATGAGCTACTTTCACTCACTCACTACGTTTCCATTCTAGGCAGAACGGTTACATTGTTTTCCCCTTATGCAAATACAGAATCGTTCATTGGTCTTCTTTCTTGCCTCGAGGAGGAGCACTTCAAGTAGCACGGTAGAACACTACCCAGTCAGCAAAATTGGTCTGGCCCAGCTCTGGCGTGGACACGGCACGACACTCGGCCCACATACCGCAATGAATGACGGTCCTGCAGTGGCCCGGGTCTGGCATCCATGAGCCG